TGGGAGGTTGAGGTGAGTGGATTGCCTGAGCCCACGGGTTCGAGACCCACCTGGGCAACTTGGTGAGACCTCATCTCAACAATAAATTTTTTTAAAAATTAGCTGGGCATGGTAATGCGCGTCTGTAATTCCAGCAAGGCGGAAGGATCGCTGGAGCGCAGCAGGTGGAGGCTGCGGTGGCCGGGAGCGGCCACTGCACTCAAGTCTGGGCAACAGAGTGAGACTCCAACTCAAAAAAAATAAAAAATACTATAATCCCAGCACTTTGGGAGGCTGAGGTGAGAGGATTGCCTGAACCCACAGGTTCAAGACCAGCCTGGGTAACTTGGTAAGACTTCATCTCTACAATAAATCAAGAAAATTAGCCAGGCATGATGGCACATGCCTGTAGTTATAGCTACTTGGAAGGTTGAGGGGAAAAGATCACCTGAGCCCAGCAGGTCAAGGCTGCGGTGGCCATGAGCATGCCACTGCACTACAGCCTAGGCGACAGAGTGAGACTCCAACTCAAAAAAAAAAAGAGAATATGAAAAACTTACAGTTAACATCATATTTAATGGCAAAAGACTAAATGCATTCCCAAAATAATTTGGAAGAAAGGCAGGATGTCCACCTACACCACTTCTATTCAAAATTGTACTCGAGGTACTAGCCTGTGTAACAAGAAATATAGGGCATACAGATTTAAAAATAAGTAAAACTGTCTTTATTCACACATGACATGACTATGTAAAATTTTCTAAGGAATCAACAAAAGATGCTTGAATTAAAAAGTGAATTTAGGCCGGGCTCTGTGGCTCAGCCTGTAATTCCAGCACTTTGGGAGGCCAAAGCGAGTGGATTGCCTGAGCCCACAGGTTCAAGACTAGTCCAGGCAACTTGGCAAGACCTCGTCTCTACAATAAATCAAAAATTAGCTGGGCATGGTAGCACACGCCTGTAGTTTCGGATACTTGGAACGCTGAGGCAGAAGGATCGCTGGAGCCCAGCAGGACAAGACTGTCGTGGCTGGGAGTATGCCCCTGCACTGCAGTCTGGACGACAGAGTGAGACTCCGACTCCAAAAAAAAAAAAAAGTGAATTTAGCATAGTCAAGTGATAAAAGTTTAATATAAAAAATGATACTTCTTTGTGCAAAGTCTATGAAATGAAAATTAAATAATGTTGTTGAGAGATAGAGAGATATAAGGACAAGAGAAATATATCATGTTCACAACACTAAACACTCAACATTGTTAAAATGTCAGTTCTCCCAAATTGACCTCTAGATTCAAACAATTCTAATGAACATCCCAACAGGCTTTGTTGTAGAAATTGACAGCTTGATTCTAAAATTTATATGGAAAAATGCTAAGATCCTAAAAGAACAAAAGAAAAACGAATTTGGAGGACTTACAAAACCTGACTTCAAGACTTACTAAAATACCACACTATCAAAACTGTGTGGTATTGGCACAAGGATAGACACACAAATCAGTGGAACAGAAAAGAGTCCAGAAATAGACCACACATGGTTAGCTGGTGTCCCATTGACTGAGACAGAGAGAAATTTATCAGGTGACAAAAGAGTTTATTATCTTAATTGTAGTGGTTACATGGCATATAAATTTGTCAAAACTCATTGACACTTTAATGTACATTTAAAATGAATGCATTTCATTTTATGTAAATTATAGCCAAATAATGATAATGTCAAAATATATTATGAAACAATTCCCAAAACTCACCCTGGTTTTTCTGGTCTGGAAGGAAACTTACATTCATTAAGGACCCATCATGTGCCAGACACTAATTCTGCACATTTAATTCATACAACCATTTTCTAAGGTAAGACTCACTCACCAGATTTTTACATTGGAAGAAATGTTGGGCAAGTGCTAACTCATCTACCTAGAACGTGGGAGTCAAGTCAAGCCTAAGCCCATGTTGCCATCATTGCCATTCTCATATTAAGTCTTCTCTGTAGTTACTTTTTCACCAACGCTACTACCCATACCCACTAAAACCATTTTTAGATCTAACTTGATTGTTTTTTGTTTTTTTTTAACTTTCCGAGATAAATCAACTTGAAAAGAAAAGAAAAAAAGATCATGAACCTAGCTGGGCGTGGTAGCGCGCACCTGTAGTTCCAGCTACTTGGAAGGTTGAGGCAGAAGGATCACCAGAGCCCAGCAGGTCAAGGCTGTGGTGGCCAGGAGCGTGCCACTGCACTCCAGTCTGGGCAACAAAGTGAGACTCCAACTCAAAAAAAAAAAAAGAAAGAAAGAAAGATCATGACCCTAAACGGTCCCTAAACTGCATGACTAGCTTCTGAACAATAATAGGCTAACCCCTATGTGCTAAATACCTCAAGTTACAGTATTTACAAAATACTTATATACTGGACTCATAAAAAGATGTACAGACAGGCACGGCAGCTCATACCTATAATCCCAACACTCTGGGAAGCAGAGGCAAGAGGATTGCCTGAGCCTAGGGGTTCAAGACCAGCCTGGTCAACTTGGCAAGACCTCATCTCTACAATAAATCAAAAAATTAGCCAGCATGGTGGTGTGCACCTGTGCTTCCAGCTTCTTGAAAGGCTGAGGCGGAAGGATCACCTGAATCCAGCAGGTCGAGGCTGTGGTGGCTGTGAGCATGCCACTGTACTCCAGCCTGGGTGAGAGAGTGAGACTCCTACTCAAAAAAAAAAAAAAAAGACTTATAAACAAATTCCACTATGACTATTTCCAGCATCACACAGCAGTTAAGATATAAAACTATCTGTAAGACTCTTATTCTCCCACTGGGTAAATTATTATTATTGTTACAGATTTTTAATCTTTGAAATTCCACACCAATTACCACTAAATAGAACAATCTATCTTTTACTCTGTTAAAAACACAAATTCTAAAACTTAACATCTAGTGTCAATTGGCAAATAAAGACCACATATCATGGCCAAAATATTTACTACCATAAATGCTATAATGGGTATAAAAATATCCTAGGGGAAGGTGGTAGAAAATATAGACGCCTTGCAAAATCTTCAATATTCAAGATGAAGGTGTGAAAAAAAAAAAACCTTTTGCAAATTTCAAGATAAAGGAGCTAAAGAAATAAATATGTGTACTTTACTTGAGCTAGTGTAGTTAACACTAGCTCAAGTAAAAATCACAATTTACCAGCTCACAGAAACAAAACATACTTACAGTTATGTGAACACTGAGGAATTATCATTGCAATGTTGAAATATTCAAAACAAATTCCACACCGCAGCAAATCATCTACTCTCTGAAATGCAAAACCATATGATAAAATATCATTAGCCATTTAAAAATGTGCTTTCAAAGAATAATTAATGCCGTAGGAAAATGCTCATGTTTTAATAGACACTTTTTTTTAAAAGTCAGAAAACAAATCTACTACAATAATACATCATAGCAATTCCGTAGGTTCATCTCCACATATGCCCATAGCATCGGCATCCCAGTTTCAAAGATGAAACCTACAAAGTGCCTAAGTTGACTGGATCAAACCCACAACTCCAAGATGATCCCAAATTAAAAATACATAAAAACTGAAGAAAAAGAAGATAAAATGTTAAATAGTGGTTATCTCTGGATGGTAACAACAACAAAAATGCCTGAATAAAGAATGGTTGGTAGATGACCCAAAATTTTCTTAGTTTAGAGAAAGAGAAAGTGACAGAGTAAAGTAGAAAACAGATGAATGGAAGTAATAATTATAAAAACATTCATAAATTTTGGGGGTTACAGATCCCTTGAAAATTGAAAGAGGCCAGGTGCAGCAGTTCATACCTGCAATCTCAGCATTTTAAGAGGTTTAGGGAAGAGGATCAATTGAGGACAGGAGTTCAGGACCAGATTGGGGAACATACTCATAGTGAGACCCTGTCTCTACAAAAAATTCAAAAAGTCAGCCAGGCATGGTGAACAACCCTGTAGTCCCAGGTACTTAAGAGGCTACGGTGGGAGGACTGCTTGAGCCCAGGAGTCCAAGGTTGTAGCGAGCTACATGCCACTGAACTCCAGCCTGGGTGACAAAGCTACCCTCTGTCTCTAAAGAGGAAAAAAAGGATAAAAACTAAGGACTCTTATCAGAAAAACATACACACAGACGAAAAATGTGTAAATAATGTAAGACTTCGAAATCTTTCTATGGATTCCAGGTTAGGAACCATGGATTCTGAGTCAGATTTCTATTCAATATAAGAAAGAACTTTAGCCAGGCACAGTGGCTTACATCTTTAATCCTAGCATTTTGGGAGGTGGAGGCAAGAAGATTGCCTGAGCCCAGGGGTTTGAGACCAGCCTGGGCAACCTGGTGAGACCTCATCTCTAAAATAAATCAAAAAAAAATTAGCCAGGCCTGGTGGGGTGTGCCTGTAGTTCCAGCTTCTTGGAAGGCTAAGGCAGAAGGATTGCCTGAGCCCAGCAGGTGGAGGTTGCTGTAGCCGTAAAAGTGCTACTACACTCCAGTATGGGTGACAGAGTGAGATTCTGATGAAAAAAAAGAAAGAAAAAATTAACTTCAGTCAGAGCTGCTTCTGAGAGCAGTTAGTTCTTTGTCCCTGGAGGAGTTCAAGAAAAAATTAGATGAGCAGTTGGCAGATATGCAATAAAAGAGATTAAAATACTGGAGGGGCTGGCTTTCCAATCTTATGGCTTTCCAGTCTTAAGATATTATGATTCTAATGTGAGTTAAATATGGGCTCAATCAACACATGGTAGAACACTCACTGAACACTCTCTAGTGCTCAACTCTCTATCTTCAGTGCTGTGGTGAGTAAAGTCAGTGAAGACATGCAACCTGCCTCTAAAGAACACTATGAAGTTGCAGGAATAAAAATATGCTTAAATCTACAAAGCAAGAGCTTTACAGGTTACAGAGCTCTTTCACTTTCTTTAGCCAATATAATCTTCATGACAACAAATAAAAAGGGGAGAGAAGCACTTAGCACAAGTGCTAATAATAATAAAGATACAGTAACTGAATACTTTAAATCAACTAGCAAATAATGTTTGAGTACCCACTTTGTGTAAGGCACTGCAATAAGCACACTGAATAAGCCAGCAGGATCTGTACCCACACATATTAACTCATTTAAGCAAACCTATGAACTATTTCTGTCCCTAGTTTATAGTTGAGGAAATTCAGGCTCAGAGAAGTTAGGTAACTGACTCAAGTTCACAGAGTTAAGAAGCAGAAACCAGGCCAGGCGCGGTGGCTCAAGCCCAGCACTTTGGGAGGCGGCGGTGAGGGGATTGCCTGAGCCCATGAGGTCAAGAACAACCTGGGCAACTTGGCACCTCATCTCTACAATAAAACTTTTTTTAAAAACATTTAAAATTTTTATTTATTTATTATAAAGATGTGGGGTACAATTAGGGGTTAGCTATATAAACACCAATCATGCAGGTACCCTTGTTGATGAGGTATGCCCCTCCCTCCCCTAGCAGTTTCCCTCAACTGCCAGTCCCACTCCCCCCCCCCCAGACAGTTTTCCACTACTGCCAATCGCTTTCTTATAGTATAATAATTGTTCAAGGTCAGCTTACGAGTGAAAACATATGGAACTCAGTTCTTTGTTTCTGTGATAAATCACTGAGTATAATCGACTCCAAATCCATTCAAGTTGCTGCAAAATTTGTCGGGCATGGTAGTGCGCGCCTGTAGTTCCGGTTACTAGAAAGGCTGAGGGGAGAGGATCACCTGAGCCCAGCAGGTGGACACTGGGGTGGCCGTGAGCATGCCACTGCACTCCAGCCTGCGTGACAGAGTGAGATTCCAACTCAAAAAAAAAAAAAAAAACAGAAACCAGACCTAACTCAGGACCACTGGAACTCAAATCTATGCTCTTCTCCACTGTATCATGGTGCCAAAGCCACCACAACTTCAAACCCACAGCTTTCCTGAATCTTTCCACAATGTCAGCTTCTCACCATGGGGATATCTCAAGTCCCCAAGCACCGTAGCAGGAAGAACACGGCCTTATACTTTCTTTAGCCTTCACTTAGTCCTCTAAATCAGTTATATGAGTCAGTGGGACGGATACTATCATCCCCAAGTTGACAAAACTGAGGAACAGGAGGAGAAAGTTACCTTACCCACAGTCACAAACAGAAACAATTACAGAGAAAGAAGGAAAACCAAGCAAAACCTGACTCTTACCCAGGGCAGCAAAGTTATTCGTTCTTGAGCAAACCTAGCAGGAATCTAAGGCCCACCACCACGATAAATGCAAACTGGTATTCCTTGCCAAAACAGAAAGTGACCACAAAAATAAATGCTATTGAAGTAAAATAATGCCACGAAATGAAACACTAGGGCCGGGCCTAAGTTGTGATCGCTGTTGAAAGCAGAAGCAAGCAATTGTTACAAAAGAGTTAGGACGTTAGGGAGGAGTTGGGGCAGCACGTTGGGACAAACCAGCACTCATCTTATTGAGGGTAATTAGGAGAAATGAAAGAGCGTGTAAAGACTGCCTGCTTGGCTACGTGATTAAATAAATGTTACTGGATACAGTGTCCACCCAAAATCATGTCCGGTGTCACTGTTTACATAGTGCTAGACACAAAGTAAGCTCTCAGAAAAGGCTAGCTGTCACTACTGCCGTCACTGTTTAGAGCAACAGTTTTTCTCGAAGTCATTGTTGTGACTGAACGGCGGAACACCTAGTTCTACAAGACGGCCAACCTCAGCTCAGCATTCGCGACCGAGGTCTCTCCCTGTCACTTCTGCGGGAAAAAAACTGAGGCCCAAGGCCACGCGGTCGGCAAGCGGCAGAGCAGAACCGGGTAGCCTGGCCTGTTCGCCGCTCGCGCCTCGTCCTTTCTCCGCCTCCAGACGGGGTCACCCAGGAGCCTCCAACTGCCCGAATCACTCACCTTCATAACTGCCAGGCCCGCAGCCACCGAGGCTCGGCCACGGAGTCCATGGTCACTCCTGCGGCTGCTGAGGGTCCGCCGCGCGCCGGCCTCCAGCGCTCCACTACCACTCGAAATTGCCCGCGCTAATGACCTGCGTCAGCAGTCCGCGACTCGCCTGAGGCGCGCGGAGCCTGCCGGAAGTTGTAGTGCGTGGGCGGAGCGCAGCCCGGGCGCTCGCACTACGCATGCGCCAGGCTTCTCCCCTGCCCGTCAAGCGGAAAGCGGGTGGTGGTTTAAAAGCTCAGAGCCTCCAGGCACGGTGGCTCACGCCTATCATCCCAGCCCTTTGGGAGGCTGAGGCGAGAGGATTGCTTGAGCTCGGGGGTTGGAGACCCGCCTGGGCACTTTGGTGAAACATCGTCTTTACAATAAATCTAAAAATTAACCGGGCGTGGTGGTGCGCGCCTGTAGTTCCAGCTCCTTGGGAGGCTGAGGTGGAAGGATCTCCTGAACCCAGCAGGTGGAGGCTGCGGTGGCCGTGAGCGTGCCACTCC